TTTCTATGATTGCACCAATATTTAACTCTGGATTTATGGTTAAAGCTAGGGTTATTTTTATTAGACCCAACAGAATGGGTTTGGGCTACAAAACCCCTTTCCTCATGCCTGAAGAACGGGCTGTGTGCTCTGGAGCATCTTCCTTCATCTCTGGTGATGTTAACTGGTATAATAAAAGGTACTACAATTACTGTACTACTGTTCAACGAGGGGTATAAAGGTAAAAGCATGCTTATAACTTCTGTCAGCAGAGACAGCAGTAAGCTCTTCTGTGGATAAATGGCTTGTTTTAAGGATTTTAAAATACATAAAATAGTTTCTTTTTTCTGGATCATGTATTTTAAGAGTAAAAGTCTGTTACTGAACACTATACAAAGGTCCCATGTGTATGTTTGTAAAGCACAAAATGCTTGTAAAAGTGAAAAATCTCTATTAAAAAGCAGTCATTTGAGAAAGCAAGCATATTAATATGAAACCTTTATTACTGTGGCCATACTTCTAGAAATACTAATCAGTGATTGACTAAAAATGTACAATAGTAAATCTTACTTTCTCTTACTTGTAACTTTTGGAAAACACGGGCTCAAATAATAATTATTGGCCTGCTTTTTACGGGGTTGTTAATTTTCCATGGTTTTTACCAATAGGAGTTTCCTCAGGCTGACCTTAGCTGAGAATTCTCTTTTCTGTAGCACACAGCCTTCAGCAACTGGGAATAGGAACTTGACTTTTTTCACCTTCAAGTGTAGATACAGCTCTCGCATACATTGCAAAGTGACTGATCAGCAAAGTGATGGTTTTCAGGCTTCATGGATATGCTGGAAGTTGAGTGTTGATGTGCCAGTGGCTGAAACAGGTCTCCTGCAAGCTGTGTTTAACACTATTCAAGGTTGAGCTGTGGCTCTGACACACTTGTGCCAGCTGATAATCACTGATCACTTTTCCCCCCTCGTGCTTTCATTTACATAGGTTATGTGTATCTTCAGGGCTTTTCCTTTCAATCACAAGGTGTGTGGTACCTTATGACAGACTTCAGTCCTATTCTTTATTCTGGCTGAATGGGAGAAGCAGCAGCCTCTAGTCAGAGGCTTTTCTTTTACCCCAGGGAATCTGGCTGTAGTGAAACTACCTAAGGAAAGTACACATAACCTTAGCATTAGGTAATATGCACAACAGTCTGAATACACGAGACTCGGGGGTGGGTTTAGGAGTTTTGTCTGTTATTTTTCCTTTCTCTGGTCCAAGATTTCTGGCTGCGAGGGCAAGTCATTGGTGAGCTGGGGCTGCTGGTGTTACTGGGGCTGCTGTTAATTGCTTTCAGCCAAAGCGTTTTGGTTTGTGCTCAGTGCTGCTGAATGTTGCTTTGTGACGCTGTTTATATGAGGGCTGAGCTTTCTTGAAAGGAATAACCTTTGTCAGCCAGCAGAGCTCTAGAAAAAGAAAGAACCTCTTAAGTTTTGTCAGCAACTGTCCTCTTTTTTTATTAAGGTTTAATAGAGACCAATAAAGTACAATATAATCAATTAAATTACAGCGCTTATGTTACACACCAAATATGCTGACTCGCCCTGGAGCATAGTGATTTTTTCAGTGTAACCTATGTGCATCCCTTTAAAGCATCCAAATATTTAGGGTGTAGCATTCTCATTTGAAAGATGTATGTTGTCTGCTTGTTGTCTCTGGTTCTGCAGCTGGAATGTTTCAAGGTCTCTGTGTTGCCAAGCACTAATTGTTGACCTTCTATCGTAAATCAAATAGTGATGGACTCTGCAAGAGAAAACCCAAACAAGGCTTCCTGCTTCCTGGATAATGAGGCTTAAATTCACTCAGTATTTAGAGTTATATTTCTGTGGGCCTTAGTATTATTTTACCTTTTTTTAGTAAGGTTAGTTTTAAGTCTAGAAGAGGCATTGTATATTGTACTGAGGGTGCTGCAAAAAATTCTGTAGGTGACCATTTGCCTTCTGTATCCTTGGAATCATTCAAGTCCAGGTTGGACAGGGCTTAGAACAACCTGGGCTAGTGGAAGGTGTCCCTGCCCATGGCAGGGGGTTGGAACTGGATGAGCTTTCCAACCCAAATCATTCTGTGGTTCTTGGTGCTATGACAAGAAGATAGTCACTGGGTTTTCCACGTTGGGCTGTGCATTTCACGTAAAAGAGTCAGGTTTAGCTGCACATCTTGCTGTCCTTCAGTTGTGCCAGTGTTGGGAGAGACAGTATCAAACATGCCCAGCACTTTTCTAAGAGATACTTGCCTCTATCGATCTTGAACACCTCTGGTAAAGGAGATTTCACAATCTCACAGGCAGCTGGTTCTGGTGTATCACTACCCATAGTCATTATGTGACCTGCCTTGTCTTTGCTGTAGATTTAGCTCTATCTTCCTCCTTCTGTACTCGACGAGACAGATTTGTCAGTATAAGGTAATTATATAAAAATAGAATCATAGAATAATTAGGGTTGGAAAGGACCTTAAGATCATACAGTTCCAACCCCCCCTGCCATGGGCAGGGACACCTCACACTAAACCATGTCACCCAAGGCTCTGTCCAACCTGGCCTTGAACACTGCCAAGGATGGAGCATTCACAGCTTCCTTGGGCAACCCATTCCAGTGCCTCACCACCCTAACAGTAAAGAACTTCTTCCTTATATCCAGTCTAAACTTCCCCTGCTTAAGTTTGAACTGTTTTGTCCTGTCACTACAGTCCCTAATGAAGAGTCCCTCCCCAGCATCCCTGTAGGCCCCCTTCAGATACTGGAAGGCTGCTCTGAGGTCTCCACGCAGCCTTCTCTGCTCCAGGCTGAACAGCCCCAACTTCCTCAGCCTGTCTTCATAGGGGAGGTGCTCCAGTCCCCTGATCATCCTCGTGGCCCTTCTCTGGATTTGTTCCAACAGTTCCATGTCCTTTTTATGTGAGGACACCAGAACTGTGCATACACAATAGTTGTCATGTTTATCACTTGCTACCTCTTTTTTAGTTTAATCCATGTCCCAACACTCGTGCAGTACCTGCCCGCTATTTTCACTGTTCTCTTCTGGACTGTCTTGCTTTATCTATGCTTTTCTTTAACTACAGCTCTGTAGTTAGGGGTGTTGCTTCCACCAGGTCATTAAAAAGACTGTGTAGTATTTTACAGCACTTTCCACAACATTGTATTGCTGGTGCCTATTTATTTCTGATCTGTGGAACTTGTCATGTTCTTGTGCTGCCTACACAGTTGTTTCTTGTCCTGGTTTTTATGGATGTGATTTCTCCTGCCAACTACTTCGTGTTTGTTTTTATTGAATTTCATCTTGTTGACTTTGGGCAATTCAGTTACTTTGTGTGAAATCCTGGTTTCTGAAGGATTTTGTGAATTTATGACATAATCTCTGTTGCATCATTCAAATCCTTACTGAAGAGGGAAGCAAAACCTCTGTGGTGACCGCAGTTAAAATGCCTTTTAGTTTGACAGTGGTCTTCTCTATATTAGAGTTTTCTCCTGCAGTGTTCTCGAGCAGCTCTGTGCCCACTGACACTTATGTCAATACTCACTGTGCACTAATGATTTCACGTAAAATTATTTCAGATGCTCACATTTTTGATGCAGAATAATACAATATGAAAGTTACTGGGGAAGGAAAAGGGAAAAATAAAGGCCAACCGGGTAGTTTACACAGTAATCGTTACAATGTCTTGTGTGACCTAATTGTAAGTCACATGCCAGAGAACATGGAAAAGGGAAGTGGTCTCATTGTAAGATTTTTTTCTCTGAAATTCAATGTAAACTTTTTCTGTTCAATTTGTTATCACACTTTCTGTATCAACACACAGCAGCCTCCTGTTGTGTGTCTTTATAAGGTTTAGACATGCTCTGCTGCCGGCATTTCCATTTCTTCTCACTGAAGCTGTCTGCATCCTATCATGATCAAAACTGGTTGGCAGTGAGTGAGAGCAGGTGATTTTTCTCCAAGGTTTTTGCCTCCTGAATGAAGGTGTGAATATGGGCCAGTGTATCTAGAACTAAACAGTGTTTTCTCACTCTTGAGCTGTATCTAGCAAAGATGGTGTGGATTAAGGCAGGTTGTGGGTTTAAAGCATGGCGTAGTTGTTCCTGAAGCAGCTGCATGTGCAGCTGGTTCTCATACTCAGGGCACAGCACCTTCTTGGTATTTCAAGGAGGATGGCTTTACCCTTTCTGCCCTTCTCTGCTCCTGGCACAGAAGTCCTCTCCATCGCTTTTGCCTGGGCCTGCGCTGGTGCTTTTACACGCTTCCAGCGATCTCCTTATCTCACCCAACTGGAGAAAGCTCTTCAAAGTTTGGAGCTGCTTTCTGTACCTCCTTGAGTTCATTTTCATCAGTGTTTGTGAGTCACTGTGCAGGTGGAGAGGAGAAGGTGGGAGCACAGAGAGAGGAAGAAGTAGGATATTCCCCTCTCAGTGCTGGGGTGCTGCTAAATTGGCTCAATGAGTCCTGTATGATTACACTGATAATCTAGAGGAGGATGGGATTATTCCATGTGAGATTAACAGTGAGGTAAACTGGGAAGGATACTCTCATTTCGGAGTGGAATGAAGCAAAAGCAGCTTCCTGTACATGCATCTTAACTGTCCTACCTTTTGAACTGAAGCTAGCAATATGATATCTGAATAAATCACAGAAGCAAAGTTAGACAACATATCATGTTTAAATTGCTGTTCTATTGTGTTATTATTTTCATTATATTGTTGTATTTTGTTATTTATTATTTTATTCCAGACTATTTTAAATGGGATCATTTGTCCCACTACACTGCTTTGGATTTCGTAGGGTTTTTAACCTTCTACAGGAGCAGCTCGAAGTCCACTAGGAACAAGAGAATCCGTTTTGGTGGTTTCAGACAGGCTTTCATCCTGGTCTGTCAAGTGCATAAATAATGTGTAACTTTTATAGCAGTTGTAAAAACTTCATGATCCAGAACACACAGCAGTAGTGTGATGTTTTATGTAATAACACTCTTTCTCCTTCTTGTAGGTCCTTTTGTTCTGCATCACAGCTGCTCTGTTCATGTTCTTTTTCAGGTACGTTGCTAGTTTATGTATATATGTTTGTAAGGATTATTTTAAGCAGCATTTCTAAAAGCTCACTTGATTTTGGGTATTCATCTGAAAACTTGTATATTCTTGACTCATGCTTTCTGAATTGATGCTGCCATGGCATTAAATCCCCAATTGGGCTAAAAGGGGAAATGCTGAGTTAAATGTTTTAAATCTTCTGGAGGCTATACTGATTACTTAAGAAGCCTCCTCTCAGCTCGTAATTAAGACTCTGGAGATCTGACATTACATAGTATGAAACAGCTGAAATAGTGCTGTTCATGTATGTTCTGAAGTGGCTTGTGGCAGGGGAGGTGATATTTTTTCTTCTGGTGAAAATGGAGAAGAACAAGAAAATGAGATTGTACACTTGTTGATAATACCCGATCTCTCACATGGTGCCTTCTGTTAATTGTAGAGTACATTCGTTTCACATACTTTTTCACAAGGTATCGCTTGTATTCCTTCTTTAAAAACATACAGTATTGGAATCAGATGTGACACTCTAATCTTTTTCTCCCTTGGCTTGCAAGGTATATGTGATTTACCTTCTCATTGCTTCCTTTTTAAATACCAGGCCTCAAATTTTCCTTATTCTCTCTCAAGCTGGAAAGTTGCTTGTTAAAATAACCTTTGACTACAGCCCTCTGACTTACAACTTCTGTGGCATGCAGCCATCTACGGTTCTGCAAGCCCTGTGATCCCCTGGTAATTGCAAAACTCTGAAAGCTGCAGCTTTCTCTTTTCATAATTCCATTACTTACAGGTTATTTATGGGTGTTGGGCAAGAACAGTCTGTGGATAGGGGAAAGCTGTCAGTTTATTTGAAGAAGAATTCCCCCTCTCATCTACCACCCATTAAGGCCCTTGCATTGGTAGTCTTCTCCTTGCTTTATTTTCTTCTGCTTCCCAGAGTCATGGCATAGCAGCTTTGGAGGATTTGAGTTACAGGACTGAAGTTTGACACTTGTCTGTATGAATACTGATTAAACCATCTCAAACCACCAAAATGCTGGTCAAAGCTATAAATGTTGCATGATTTTGGAGGAAGTTAGTTGTCTCCCATCTGTGTCTTTGGTAATAAACCGGTGTTTTAGGGACAACCTGGATGTTAAATGAGAACTGACCAGAGCGCAGCGAGGTGTTTGGTGAGTTCCTCCTGACCTGACACAGCAACACTGGCAGTTGGATGGGCTCCAGACCACTTTCTCTTCTAAAATTGCAATCACAGAATCATGGAATGGTCTGGGTTGGAAGGGACCTTAAAGCTCATCCAGTCCCAACCCCCTGCCACAGGCAGGGACACCTTCCACTAGAGCAGCTTGCTCCAAGCCCCTTCCAACCCGGCCTTGAACACTGCCAGGGATGGGGCAGCCACAGCTTCGCTGGGCACCTTGTGCCAGCGCCTCAGCACCCTCACAGGGAAGAACTTCTCTTTGTATCCTTTCTTATTGTTATGTGCTAAGAACAGGGAAGAGTCAGAGAAACCTCAGGGAGCGATTTGGAGTTTGGAAAACTTGGCTTGTTTAAAAAGATGGATTGTGTTTGCTTAATTTAAAAATAAAAAGTCACTCCATGGGATGGGATGACTGTCTTCAGGTACAAGAGTGCTGAAAAGAGCAAGAGAATCAATAGTCCATTCTTGCTGACTGTGATGGAAAGGATGAGACATGACAGAGCAAGACAATTTCTTCTTACAATAAATTGCAGCAGGGATGAATTCACTTAGATATTGAGGAAGGAAATAGAAGGAAGCAATTGAAAATTTCCCTGGTGAGGCTGCAGGTTGTACTCTCAGATCCATAGGAACAGATTTTGGGTTAACATGGGAGTTACTGCTCTAAGGAGTGAGTTTCTTCCACTTTTTGATGCACATCGATGGCTGTCATAACATTAAATGTTTAATATGTCGAAGACAATGGTCAGTAAAGTCTTTGGAGGGAGGAAAGCTTTGTTGTGCTTCACTGAATGCAATTGAAAGCTGTTACCTGGAAAAATCCCCAAATTCCAGTTGTGTGCTGTTGAAAGCAACATGTCTTGTAGAATGTATGGAGTAGGGACAGGAGGTTGAAGGTATGAACAGGTTAGTGGTCCAGGCAGGCAGGGGCATCACTGAAAATCAGTGGAGGAAACAATGGGACTCTTCTACTACACCAAATGAAAGTGGTTTTCTGCAATTTCTAGTCGTAGAAGTACAATAGGAGAACACCAACTGCTTAGGCAGCAGAGGCACAAAAAGGGAGGTTACTGAAATGGTAGAAGAGAAACCAGGAATAATTACTGCAGAATACATGACATGAGAAGGGAGTCAGAATGAAAGGTAAATTCAAAAGAGCAATATGGAAAGGGAGACAGTAGGGAGAGGGAAGGAGAGTGTGACTGAAGAGGAAAAGAATAAGATCATGTCAACAGGCAGGACAAAAAATAGAAGACTACTAGGAAGAAGGCAGCTGAAATGCAGATGATAGGTTTGCAGGCAACAAAGTTGTATTTAGAGACAGAGGAATCATATTTTAGTGTAGTATTTTTTTTCTTGTCCTTTTCTGGTACTTTCCTCCTAAATTAAACCTCTGCTTTTTCTCCAAATGCTTCTGCTCAGCTGTACTGGGAGTGATGAAATGATACATCACTCATTTGTGGATAGCTGTACTGTAGTGTGTGGATAGTGTACTGTAATGTGTGTAGTACTGTCAGTCATATGTGTAATGCACACATACAGGTCATCACAGTTGAAACAGGATTCTTTCCTCTTCTGCCCATTTTCTCCTAAAAACTCACATACAGAAGTGTATGTAGGGAGAGAAACGTTCCCATACCTTAAGGAATGAGTTTTCAGGTGACATTGAACTCAACAAGGACTTAATACTCACCACTTAAAGAATCGTTCTTGATGTTATATGATGTCATGTAAGATTTGTTTTAAAAAGCAACATTTTTAAAGTGTCTTGTAACAAAAGCACAATTTAATACTTCTATTTCAGAAAATAATAAATTACAGTTTGCATGGAGTTATGGGTGGAAAGGTTTGATTATACCGTGTTTTCATGTCATCTTGTTTCAGTTTGAATAATGCATGGTGCTGGCTGACCAGAACAGCAGTCTAGAATAACTGAATAGAATAAACCAAGCAGGAGGAATACTGTAACGTGTGAAATAAATACTTGTAAAATACAATCGAATTGATGTTGTTATAGTAACAGTTTGATTTTGAATATTACACTAGGGTTTTGCAGAAGAGTGATGCAACGGCTCTGCTTTTATACACAATTGAAGAAATCCACGTAATAGAACACTTGCAGTCGCTGCACAATAAATGAACACCTCCATATAAATCCTATCCACATAAACTTAGAAAATCCAGCCATTTGGGTGAGCATGTGTAGGCAGACTGAAGCACTGGTTGCTATAGTAGTTAATCCTCAGACTCTACACCACCCGTATATAATAGGCATATGTTAACTCTTCTCTGAACCCTCGAAAGGAAAGCATTTACAGGCTGAAACCAGCTATTATGGGAAGGTGGATGGTTCTGTTGATTGATGGACCATAAGTTGCCTTCTATAGTGATAGATGTTAAAATGTTACTTTCTGAAGCAATAATTTCAGCCAGTGAGAAGTTACTGCTGGGATTTCACAAAGCAGAATGTGGTGGTTTTCGTAACTCAGGGTTTGTGTCACTCACAACAGAAAGCTCTTGGTCTCTTAATGTCATTTATATATTATCTATTGATTGAAAATGGCTAAGGAGAACTACAGTGAAAAGAGCAGTGAAATGGGGATGCGCTGTCATATACTGCCATTAAGCTGGAGTAATGAAACTTGTGTAAAGTCACTGAAAACCTTTAAGAAAGGTCCTTTTGTTCGCAGAGCCCTTTATTCTATCTCATTAATGAAATTCTACCCTCCCAAATTACAGCTATTTACTTTTCTTTCCCCATGAAACACATATCCTGTATTTTATTCCGTATTTTGACATGATATTTCAAAGTGCCTTTAGTTTCTTTATTTTATCTTTCTTTCTGTGGTACCAGTCCCGTGTTTAATCACCTCAACTCCCTTTTGTACAGAAGCAACTGCTTGAAACATATATTTGCCTTTTAATTCTACTCTCTTTTGTACTGTAGAGTAGGCAAGCTTAATGGTTGGAGTCGCTATTTTATGGATTTAATACAAAATAATTTCCCCTTTCTTATTAAAACTATTTTGAAGTCTTTTACATTTGCTGTAGAATTAAAGGAGTACATTAAAAGTCATTTGCTATTAAATTATTAGCTAATAATTCAGAAGAAAAAACAGATGAGAATTTTTTCCATGTTTATATATATATATTTTTACTATCCTTATATAAACATCTCAGAGTTAGTGGTTTGAAGCATTGTTTTGGTAACTGTCATGAAACATGATTTCTGAGGTATTTTGGGTCACCTGGTGAGCAGATGAAAACATTCAGTCTCCTAAGAAATGCTATAAATATCAGCTCGTTTTATTTAGTGTGAGCAAAAGTAAAACATGGTATCACAGGAGGGGGTTGCAGATAAAGAGATAACCTTATAGGTTAACTATGACTTTTCTCTGGCAGAGCCTTGCTTTAGGGTTATGTAGCCTTAGTTCAACTGCAAATATGGGTAGAAAGGTAAGATAATCTGAGTGCTGTTTATCTACCCCTAGAATAAAAGGTGAGAAAGTATTTTTACTTTTCTATTTTCAGGAAGCACCTTTTGTTTTCTTCTCTTTCATACTCTTTTATCAGATTTCTGCTGAATTTCAAGGTGTTTTCTTTGTCCTTTTCAACTTGGAGTACCATGTAGTATTGTGTCAGTTCTGGTTTGAAGGGAGGTTGCTGTGGAGTTTTGCAGAGTTTGGGTGTTAGCTCTCCGCTGTGCTCACTGGAGAGGGAAGATGCTCTCCCCAGGCTAATGTTATGTACCAACCTCTATGTTAAAAATGATATAGTAGAGTTAAAGGTACGTCTGAAGTGTATTTCA